TTATAAATTTGAGTTTAGAAGGATGTTCTTACATTTATTCCTAACACGAATGGAACCAACATCGTTATTCATCTTGACGTAAGCATTCTTCAGCAAACTTTTATGAAGATAAAGTAATATAACTTATGATAGTTGTATATTAACTTGCGCTTTCATAATCCTTCGGTTTGCATAGAGCAAACAAGAAAATCGCTTCCTGGATCAAACTTCATTTTCTTGAATATAACTTTTTTTTTATATATTTTTATATAAATATTTTATTTTTCGAAAGTACCGCACCTTCATCACTGACCTTTCATGGTTGAGTGGCCAATAGTTCGTGTACGATACGAGAGAGAAGTCCACGTAACCTTTCTAAACATTTACAGGGCAATTTCATCACAGATTTGACATTTGTGACACGCATCATGTCATTAAGAGTGGACAGTGATGACGCTCTCTGGCCGGTTGAATACAACAGGGGAAAGTGGCGGTAAGGCGTGTGAGGCGTAACACATGTGTGCTTGAGACTCCTCTGTGAAAAGGGCAACCGGTACAGCGGCGTTGTTCGAGATTATTTTCATTTCTACATTAAAGAACATACCCGGGCAAAAAGCTATAAATAACAGGTTTCGAAGTACATATATATATATATATATATATATATATATATATATATATATATATGTGTGTGTGTGTGTGTGTGTGTGTGTGTGTGCTTAGAGGGATTGATTGATTTGTCTGTTTAATGGCATATCAACTCCTTATGGGTCATTTAATCCCGAAATTTAATTTTCTTGGGAGCTTGGAAGTATTAAAAATATGATATGTGTTATTCTGCTTTCGCAATTGAATACATGGTAGGTGATACTCAGCTTTTGTTCATATATGTATTGCTGGTATTTAACTATAAAAATTGATTTTTATAATTTCATAGTATTTTGTTTTTTTGGATTCAACATTTACCCATAGATGGGACCCTAACAGGTGCTACCGACCCGGATCAAGGTGGACTTGGGAACAACAGCAATTAAGTAGTGGATCCACGCTTCTCAAAACTTCCACTCTCCCAATCAAAGACCTTGCAGCCGGATGTAGTTTATCGTCATATATATACTATATATACTTAGAAACCTCATATATGTATGTATGTATGCACGTATGCATGTACTTAAGTGTGTGTGTTTGTTTGTTTGCGTGCGTGAAAAATTGATGGACTTTTCATAAGAAAAAGATCATTTTCAGTTCCCAACCATATATAATTAAAATTATTATAAGAAAAATATGCTTTTAAAACATCAAACGTGAAACTCGAAACAAAAGACATAATACGCAATATATAAGCAGCCTGATCTGCCCTACTAAATATAATTGCTTAACAAATATACCTATACAAAACGACGAAAGGTTATATATATATATATATATATATATATATATATATATATATATGTATGTATGTATGTATAAACTTTTGACCAACCCTTCGTCAGAAGACAATCGTCGTTATTAAAATTCTGCTGAAGGGCTGTTTTTTTGTTTTTTTTTAATAAAATAGTATCTTAAAATTGGAGAGAATACAAGAGTGGAAAAAGAAAAAGGCAAATTATTATTTTTATCCAAATCGATCAAATGACCCCCCCTCCCGAACTGTTCTAATTTTTCTCAAACTTCTTCTGTCTACTTGGAGTCGGACGATGTGTGTTAATCCCAACAGCTTCTAAGATATTCCGGTAGTGTCTTACCTGGGCTCTGTGCAAAATAGTCAAGAAATCTTATGAATAATTGTTCCTGCAAACATTTGTACGTAACAAGTGTTTACCATATATATATATATATATATATATATATATATATATATATATACGTGTGTGTGTGTGTGTTTTGTAAACGGTCCGGTGTTTGATTTTATACATAATATAAGCGGGCCGATTCTAAAACCAAATTTATTATTATTTGATTTAAAGAGATTCCAAAATGTTTAATCCTTTTTCCTCTTGTATTATCACATGCCACCAAAACCGGACAGTAATTAGAAAAAGCGTTATGGTAGCGTGTTAGATGTTTTTATGTGTTGATGTGTTAAATGTTTATGGTCAAACCTTCCGAGGGAAATGTTATTGACTGAATGATTTCTTTTTACAACTTACCGACGCTTTGCACGTTACATATAGCTAGAAAAGATTTCTAGATTGTATGAAAACTTTCAAGATAATAATGTTATACCGATACAAGCCTAGCTAATTAACCCATAAATGGGGGGAAGTAGGGCATTTGTGCGATAAGTGAATACAATAAACCCAACTGGAACTGAAACTCAGCTCTTTGATTTTCTATACCGAAACATTATTTATTTTCATCAGCCGAGCATATACACTTACATTCATTATGTCCACCCATTCAGGTATTGTCCAGGCTCAATGTTGCTTAACTTCTGTGATCATACGCGAACCGGGGTTTCATGTAATATGGCCGTAAGCATGAGAAATGTTGTGCTCTAAGATATACTGATAGTTTCTTGTTATAGATTTTTTAACCATGAGGTTATTTTAGTCACGTATAGCGGTATATAATAATAATAATAATAATAATAATAATAATAATAATAATAATAATAATAATAATAATCGCAACCAGATACTATCATTATGGAACTAACCCGAAATGCAGGATCTGCGGTAAATATGATGAAACTGTCGACCAATATGGTCGACAGTTTCATCATATTTCTCAGGATGTCAGGAACTAACAGTTTCATCATATTTCTCAGGATGTCAGGAACTAACAAAAAAAAAAATGAATATACCCACATATATAACAAGTTAGCGACATATGTGCACTGGAAGATATGCAAGTAGCACAAAATCGAAATCACTGAGAGATGATATGAGCACCAACCAGACACATTTACCCCCCCCCAAAAAAAAACGATTTAAACATCCTCTGGGATATACCAATTCAAACTAACAGGGAAATAAAAGCCAACAGACCTGATATTAAGATAAAAGACAAAAAGTTCAGGAAGTGTATGCTTATTGACATAGCAGTACCATCTGGGAAAAACATCTCCATCAAAATTATCGAGAAATTGTCGAGCTACAAGGACCTGAAAATCGAGACTAACAGGATGTTGGGAATGAAGACTGAGACTGTACCAATAGTAATCGGAGCACTGGACCTCGTGAGAAACGGAATGGACAATTTTACCAAGGGTGCCCCAGGTAACATTAGCACACAAGTTTCCCAGAAAATCACTCAACTGAGAACATCACACTAAGAAAAGTGCTATCAATTCTCCTATAGGGTCTAAGGACCATAGTTTGCACCCGGCTCTACAGGATACAAGGCAGGAAACTTTTACAAATAATAATAATATTACTTATCAGTGAAATCCACTCATTAGGAGACAAATGTAGTTTTGACATCTTTTCATATATGATATTTTTCTTGCTTCTATGGCGTAAAACTTTTCATAGACTTGCTTGGATTTCAGAGACAAATCCATAATATTAATATTTATTATTATTATTATTATTATTATTATTATTATTATTATTATCAGCAGTAGTAATTCTTTATTACTCGATATTAACTTCCGCATTCACAAAGATTGTTGGCCTAAAAAACATTATCTTCAAGTAATACCTTGGTTGACCTGAACGGAAAATTTAATTCATATTTTTGTCCTGAAAACTGTTGTTCTAATCACGTGATTTAGGTACCTCGTGCTTTCCTTAATATTGAAGGCAGTTGTATTGTTTCTGTTACTTGTAATGAATAGGAAAACAGTCTGATAAGCTGAATTGTTAAATGAGGAAGAAGCCTCACTTGAATTTAGCATTTTGTTATTAAGAAAGAGTGGGATAAAGTAATGGTGACTGGAGAATAATATTCTCTCTTTAACATTCAGCCGGACTGTCAACCCCAAAGGACATTACACGACGCCATTATTTCTCTGGCTTTAACAAAAAGGAAAGTTGTAATTAATCGTGGTATAACTGAAAGGCCAGTGGACATCAAATTTAATAACAATAACACAATGTCCGAATGAAAAACGACAGGTTTTTTTAATCCGATATAGAACTTATTTTTTGCCTCTGCGACTCGTGCAAACTTCCCCCAAAAGATGTGTATATATATATATATATATATATACACACACACACACACACACACAAACACACACACACACACACATATATATATGAAGAAATATAGTCTTAAGATGTACTATATTTATGGGATAAAGTGTTCAATATCAGAGATAGAGCGTGTGTAAATATAAAAGTGAACATAGAAGTTAATACTTAGAGGCGACAGTCTGTTTCATGCTAGATGGAATCGTCAGGCCACAATTACTGTTATTTTTCTCGGCTATTATATATACGGGTCAGTGGTGCATTATCGGTAGTCAATTTTTTGGCGATTATTTTACCGGAAGTCGTTTATTTGTTTATTTTATTTGGGTTAAATTATTTTGTTTGTTTTTATTTATTTTTATTTTTTATTTTTGTTTTTTTATTTCTTATCTTATATATTTATTTACTTATTTATTTATTTTTAATTTTTATCGGTGTTTTTATTAACGTAGTGAAAATTTGTTTATATCGCTTATTTAATAGTTTTGTTTTGGTTTGAGGAGATAATTAAAGTTATTTATTCAATTTGGGGATTGATTGTTGTAGTTTATTCTAACTATTATTTTGGCGGGAACAGTTTTTAATTTGTTTATTACTTCATGTATTTATTTGGATTGGTTATCTTTATTTGTTTTTTTCTAACGGTTAGTTTATCGATATCGGTTTGTTAGTTTATTTATTTGGATGAATTTAGATCAATTTATTTTACTTCTTATTATTTATTTGTTATACTGTATATTTTCACTTTTCGGTTTTCGATTTTTAAGTAACGTAGTATTTTTATTTCTTTTATCGTTATATAACAGTTATAGCTATTTTTTTCGTCCGATTTTAAGTGTTAAATTGCAACAATTATCCATAACTGTATAAATAATCGGATAGACGAAAGCAAAATCTATCTATCTATCTATCTATCTATCTATCTATCTATTTCAGTCTAGTCATATCTATGTATGGGCGTTTCTTCCCGCCAAATACATCGTATTTCCTATTAATATACTCTATTGATATTCCCCCAAGATACATCACTACCAGAACTTGTCGATAGATTACACAGGATAGAATATACAATTAATTTAACTTAGAAAACAGAATCAAACCATACTTTACCATTATCGATTTCATGTTAATAAGCTTCCATAATGACATCAACTAAAGGTCTACAATACACAGATAAAAAAACGACCTTGTACACCTCTATTCTCATCACAATAATAAAATCAAGAGTAATCATAGGTTTCTACTTAAGAGCACTTAGAATCTGTAAACCCTAATTTCTGCTCGAAATTTCTACTTTCAAATTCCTGGAATCTGAATTCGGCTCTCCGATTTCCCATCGTCGAGTCTATATGACCAATATTTACATGTAGACCTAAGTATTAACAACCGATATTTGCCTGTCAACCTAAGTATTAACAACCAAATTATTTGCTGTATACCTACGTGTGAATGACCAATATTTGCCTGTACACCCAAGTATTAACGACCAATATTTGATTGTAGACCTACGTATGAACGACTAATATTTTCTTGTCGACCTAAGTATTAACAACCGATATTTGCTTGTCGACCTAAGTATTAACAAAAAAAATTATTTACTGTAGACCTACGTATGAACGATTAATATTTTCCTGTCGACCTAGGTATTAACGACCAATATTTGCCGGTAGACCTAAGTATTAATAACTAATATTTGCCTCTAGACCTAAGTATTAACGACCAATATTCGCCTCTAGACCTAAGTATTAACGACCAATATTTGCCTGTAGACCTAAGTATTAACGACCAATATTTGCCTGTAGACCTACGTATGAACAGTATTTAGTCACCCCCCTACAAGCGTATCATGTAGCACAAGGCCGGTTTAACGTGGGATCTCCGAGCCCGTGGGCTCGGCCAAAAATATGCCCTTTGAACCCGTATAAACGGATTCAGGGTCGGTTTACCTCCTCGAAAAGGACTCCTCCCTTCGGCATAGCCTCGTTCGGGTTCCTCCCCGCCCGAAGGCAGAGAGTTCAACCGATCAGCCGGTCAGCCGAAGACCTACGTATGAACGACCAATAATATTTGCCTGTCGACTTAAGTATTAACGACCAATATTTCTCCGTAGACCTAAATATGAATGATATTAGAAGCTAAAGGGTCGACCTAAAATTAACTTGCCGAAGTTTTCGGTTGACCATTTAGCTCCTAATATAACCTCCTCCGACTTTTCTCTACGAACTTCAACTTCATTCCACATCGGGGTTGAAGAGACAGACGACCCCTTTAATCACCTGCCTAAATAGTCTGTTCCACACATGAGGTATAAGAATATTTTTTTTTTATTATTCATTTATATAAGTCTGTATAAATGAAATAGATCGAGTTCGTGGAAATGCAAAACTATTTACATATATATATATATATATAGTTTTGCATTTTCTATTTACTTGTCAATTTTCAGAAATGTTATGAATTTCAGTTTTATTATCAAAGAAAAATATATTTTTAAAATTTCTAAGGAAATGAAATGGTAATATTAATTGCTATTAAAGTTTTCATTTCAGGGATTCTTGAAGTGAAAGGCTATAAAAATGATTATTTACTTGTTGGATGGCGAAAATATTTATTTTATCAGTTTATTGTTAGAACAAAGATAAAAAAAAAAAACAAACTTGATTTCCATCGATAGCAAATAGCGAAAAATATTATATTTTATCTGAAAGGGAATATTGTATTTGGTATGAAACCTTTTGTGTTACTCAAGAAAGAGAAAATTTACTTTTGAATAGAATTATCTATCTGTCTATCTATCTATCTATCTATCTGCTCACATATTTCGTATATATTAAAAGTAGAAAAGTGAAAAAAGGAAATTACCTTTTAAATAACTGTACATCAATAAATCCATAGAAAAAGAGAAAAGAGAATACTGGTGGACAATCAATACTAGTAATGTTTTTGAACGGATACATCGCCTACTCATAAGTAAATTGGTATATATGCACTCTATTCATTCAAAAGTACCACACACACATACATTCTCACTATATATATATATATATATATATATATATATATATATATATATATATATATATAAAATATAATTTTAAGATATGCTATATTTAGAGCGTATGTAAATATAAAAGTGGACAGGTGACGTCAACACTGAGCGGCGACGACAATGATCTAAAGATTTCGTTCAAACGAACAGACTATCGCTATTCAGTTTTGATCTCAGTGTCCTTATATATATATATATATATATATATATATATATATATATATATAATAACGATTTGTAATTGGTAGGGATTATTCCGAAAAAATGTTTTAGTACATATCAAAGAAAATTATAATAATAATATATAAAAATAAAAAATATAGATAAAAATAATAAATAAAAATTAATAAATGATTACAAATAATAATCAAAATTAGGATTAAAAATATTATATAAAGATAATAATTAATATATATATATGATGTAGGCATCATCATGATAGCCACACGAATAACGATTAATCAATTAAATTTACAGACATATATATATATATATATATATATATATATATATATATATTTTGTGTGTGTGCGTGTGTGTGACAAGCAAATAAATATACACATACACACATACATACGAACATATGTACTCATATATGCTTGTACCCGTATAATATAAGAACCAAATCATAAGTGCATTATCCGCAATGTTTTAGGATAATTTGAAATTGTTTTTATATCGACATTTGAAAAGAATTTCATTTCATTCCTTTGGTTCAACAGCTGGCCAGCAATTTTACATTTTAATTATTAGGATTTTTTCTTGTATGCATAGATTGCATTTATTCCGGAAGCTGTTGGGAGTTGAAACGATATATATATATATATATATATATATATATATATATATATATATATATATAGTAGATGGTTGCTTTGGGAGGTCATTTGTGTGTATAGGAGTGGAAGAGCTCAGGAGGATTGACCATTGAAACTCGTCCTTGATGTAGGCCCCGAATCCGTGTCCGTGACGATTTAAGTGGTCATGGCGAAGATGGTGTTTCACTTCTGGAAAGTTGCAACCTAGACCCCACACGGTGGTGCAGATGGCATACGAGGGGTCTACGTTGTTTTTTTTTTCGAAGGTTGGAATAGATAGATGTGTTCATTTGTATTTTGATTGATTTCATGTGTGCATTAGTTGGTGGAAGATTTGTAGACAGAGAGACAGACACACCCACAGGAGTCACATGGAGACAGTCGTCCAGAGATACAGCCGTCGCAGTACTCTTAGGCTCCACCGTAAATTACTCCACGGTCTAGAAACCATTTACAAAATGGCAGTACAGTAGCCTTGATATTATATACCCGATTATAGGATAGCCTCCTCCGGAGTTACTCTAAGTTTCGGATCCCTGACTATGAGGCAAATGACGCCAAAACCCAGAAAACGTCTACCTCTAACTTAATGAAGGGATAATCAAACCACGAAGGAAAATACATGCGTGATGCTCCGAGTGGACATGTTGCGCCTGCCCAGAAGTCCAGCCAACAGAACTCCTGCTTGGGTCAGAAACATCGTACCGGTCAGAGACCTAAAGGAACCGAGACAAGCTCGCTCATGTACTTGAGGATTAAGGGATCCAGTGGGAGAAGTGGGGTGTAACGAGGGTTATTCGGGGATGCATGTGCATTCCCTACCCTTATTTGAATTAGTATAGAAGCATGTCCCCACCCAATGAGCAAGTTACCCATTCAGGCTTGAGAAGCATTATGGGTCGGCGAGAGGGATTATGGACAGGGGGTATGAAACAACTATAAAGTTTTAAGGTTTTAAATTTTAACTTAGTATAAGTCCCAGTATCCACTTATTTGGAAAGTGGATAGACTCCGTCGTCAGATACATAGGCTCGAAAAACAACCCCATGAAATATGTGGGTCTCGAGAATTAAGCAATAAATTAACTTGAAGGCAATATATATTATAATGAATCATTCATAAAAAAGTAAATTAGTAAAGTCAATGAGATAAAATGTCGAATTCACTAACTAAATTTTAAAATTGCATTATCCCACTAACCACACGATGAATGTTACGATCCTTATTTTTTAGAATTATGAACTGTATTAGATCTTCCTTAAATATGCAAGCACTTTCGACAGGTTCTCCGGTCATCATCAGGCATGGAATATATTTTCTTTTTGGTAAAATTCAGGTAGCAAGCTGAAGACATATTACAGTTTATAATTTTTAAAACAAGGATCATAACATTCATCGAGTGGTCAGTGGGTTAATGTATTTTAAAAAATTAGTTAGCGAAGTGAATTCGGCATTTTATCTCATTAACTTTACTAATTTACTTTTTGTATGAATGATTCATTATAATATAAATTAAACAGCACCACCTAATTGATATATATATATATATATATATATTAAGACATTTTTTATGTTTATACGTTCTTTTTATAGGTACAAATATTTAAGTAAATGCTTTGTTTATAATAAACAGTATTAACGACATTTACCGACCTGAATGTCCGAAAAATTTTCATAGAAAATATGCGTCCTCCGACATACATACATATATATATATATATATATATATATATATATATATATATATATATGTATGTATATATATAAATATATATATATATATATATATGTGTGTGTGTGTGTGTGTGTGTGTTGTGTGTGAATAAAAAAAAAAGTAAAGCTTATCTTAGCCAACGCGTTTCGTCCTCTAACGGACATTATCTCGACAAATTTGCCTTGATAAAGTGCGTTAGATATATTGTAATTATATACGAATTTTTTTACATTTTTTTTGTGTAGGGAGGTGAGTATGTTGAGGTGAAACGGTTAAATTTTCAGTACCCGCTCATACGTGTACGTACATGAGTACGCCCGAAGCCTAATGATGTAAAGAAAGCATTTATTTTGTACAGCAAACATTTACTTTATAAAATCACTTTGATTTGACTTAATTCAGTGGTAAGTAATCAACACAATCACATAAAAATTTAGCTAATAATAATCTGTGTGAAGCAACAGACATAATGAATCACATACATACACATACATCTATATAATAAATGCTAATGTCAATGTGTCACTGTTTCACACTTTTTTCAGCTTTACTCCTAGAGGACGTAACCCAACACATCATACCATTTTGGACTCAGGCTAAATTCGTGATCAAATTAAAAAACATTTCGGACCGGATCTGGACCCACAATCCTGAAATTTTCGATACCCAAGTTTTCGTTACTGTGATTGTTTTCGAATTGCGGCATCTTAACTGATAAAAACAATTAAAGGGACACAACTCTCTCTATTTCAATAGCTCATGTTCAAATGAAAGAAAAATAGTGATTCAAAATACAATTATCCGTCTTTTCAACTATACTCCTGGAAGCCTTAGCCTAACATATAATGCTATTTTGGAAAGAGGCCAACTCCCTGAGCAAATTAAAAACATTAATCCTGAAATTTTAAATTCCCAAGTTTTCATTACTCCGACTGTTTTCGACGTAAATGTTTTGTACGATAGCAACTTTTATAAGTTGGATATAAATTTGGGAATAATCGAAATTAACTGCGAAATCCAGCAAAAGTCATCCATGAAATAAAAATAATTTTTTGTACGGAAAGTAAGGACTTACGTACATTAAATTGTCTTTGAATTCAGTAGCGGCAGAAGAATAATAATTGAACTTTTTAAAGGTAAGCTTAAGTATTAATGCAATACTTAAATGCAGTGATCAATTTTTGAGTTATTCTGTAGTTTATTGTTGCCCAGCGCACACGGCAGCAGTATGCTTCGCAAAAAGAAATCTCCCCCATACAGAGGACCAGATTGCAATGAAAAGAGCCAAGGTTACAGCGAGGAAAAGAAAGTCCCGTGCAAATGAATACCCACATCAAACGACCGTCGGGAGAGTTTCCAATGCTGAGAATATGCAGACTTAGGGACTCTCAAAGTCCTGAGGAAGCCGGAGGCCCAATCAAGATCCCTTCGTGGGGGCTACGTTAAATGCTGCACGATAGAGTGGCATTTAAGCTAGCACACACACACACACACACACACACACACACACACACACACACACACACACACACACACACACACACTTTAGTGGATACTCGTATTTGAATAGACGGTCTGTTTATTTATCAAACAGTATATTTATTTATTTTCATCAACTTGAATATCCGAGAATTCTTATTAGAGAAAAAAATATGCACGTTCTTTTCGAATCCTACCAGGGTGAGCATATTTTTCTCGAGCAAGAGAAAACTTAACAGAACTTTGAAATATAATGTTTATTAGACTAGAAAACATTACTGTATATAAAAAGCAAGTTACCAGGAGAGCGGAACAGAAAGTAACAAACTAATAATAGTGAAAATACCGAAGTTGATGGCCAAAGTAAATAACACAAGAGAAAACAAAGCAAGCTACCGCGACATTTGAACATCGCAAGTTTCCTATGACGGACATTTTTCTACACTGACTTAATGCTTTTTAAAATAGTTTTTTTTACCATTACTGACATTTACGTTCATTTACATCTGTTTCGTCTGCAGGTTCCAATGAAGGATTAAAACCTGCTGTGCCATATTTGGGCAGGATGCATCAACTCGTACCAACGAATATCGCTTCTACTTTGTTCGAATTATTCATTTTATACTACTACTACTACTACTGCTAATAATAATTGAAGAAATCCCTGGTAGCCGAAGCCTTAAAGAAATGCAGTCATTTTACTCGCAAGTACAGTTCACACCTCACGAAGGGCTTTATCTATGTAAAATGCGTGTGATCTTAAGCTTTTTCTTTTCAAAAATTGCTCAGAGGAAAATGGCATGATGCCATTTTTCATCTTATGCCACTGTTTGAGACCCAAGAAATGGGTATACCCCAGAAATCAAAGTAGATAAAAAAAAAATAAAAATAATAATAATTTGAGTAAATAATATCATTAAGGAGTCAGTCTAGATAGACCTGACAGCCTAATGTAAAATGATTGGCTATGGTTGTAAGCATTTCGGTTAATATCAGACAACGAGAATCTTTTTTTTAACCGCTAATTTTTGAGAAAGTTTCCTTTTTGCGGTGTGAAATTGTGTCTGATATTCTATCAAATCCGGTAATATTATTATGAAGCTAATATAGGAAGAAATGAGCGTCTGAGATAAATTTATAATCCACGACAGTGAGCATTAGTAATAAAATTAACCTACAAGCACCCTTAGAACCACATATGAAACGTAGGATGATTTTTAGCCGTTTCTTTAAAAAAAAAAATGTGAGAGTTTTATGCTGAAAAATACGATATCTATCTATGCCGTGATATCTATCTATCTATCTGTCTGTCTTAATATTTTCAATCTATCTATTTATGTCTTAATATCTATCTATCTCTCTATCTAAATATTCTAAATCTATCTAAATATTTTCAATCTATTTTTCTTTCTAAATATTTTCAATCTATCTATCTATCTATCTATCTATCTATCTATCTATCTATCTATCTATCATAATATTTTCAATCTATCTTAATAATTTCAATCTATCTATTTATCTGTCTTAATATTTTCAATTTATCTAGCTATCTATATATCTATCTTAATATTTTCAGTCTATCTAGCTATCTATATATCTATCTTAATATTTTCAGTCTATCTATCTATCTATCTATCTATCTTACTATTTTACCTATCTATCTATCTATCTATCTATCTGTGTGTGTATACATACATATACATATACATACATACATATATATATATACATATACATATATATATATATATATATATATGTATATATTGGGAGATAATACTGTAGTAACTCTTGATTAGCTTAAGGTCTTGTTTTTGAGCTCTTGGATAAGGAGGAATTTTCTATCAATGGGTTACCTAAACAGCGCGCTAATTAATGCCCAACTCAAATGCCTCGAGCAGATTTGATACGCTGGCATGGGGCCTTGGCGTTAGGATTTGGCTTAGCCAATCTCTCGACAAGCCGAAAATCTGAATAAGTAGCTTGAAATGTGTAACAACTGTAGATTTTACAAGTAAACCAATAAACTGTTATATATGGCGAAATAAATGATGTGCTGACTATATCTGAAGAGAGTTTGTACGGATGTCGTAAAGACTAGTGAAGACTAAATGAACCCAAACAATGACGACGGTTGCTGGAGACAAACATAACACTCTTTAAGCTATAAGTGCGTCAACAAGTTAATAGACATATAGGGAAAAGAGAAGTAGAGAAAGAAAGCTTGAGAAAACGTAGAAAGGGAAATAGAGAAAGCGTGAAATTAAATGAGAAGCATTAGCGAGAGAGAAAGTAGAGGAGGTAAAGAGACAGAAAATGAAAGGAAGTGGTGGGAGAAAATATGATCGAAAGAGTGTAGATAAAGACAAGAGAGAGAGAGAGAGAAAGGGTAAAGAATAAGAGAAATAGCGGGTGAGCGTTAACTACTGTCTCTGAAGACAAAAGCTGCTCGTGAATGAATTTTAAACACTTGGAGCATTTATTGCTGCTTGTTTAAATTCAGAACTCTCTATCTTTAACTGGAGTCTGCGAATTGCTAAAGGGATAAACAAGATTGTTTTCCATATCATGAACAACCAAGCAATTCGCCATTCCCATCAACAAGATTTCCTCTACCGCTTTGGTCTTCAGCCGCCAAATTGGAGAGTTTTAAAAATTAGTCCAGACACCCACACGTATAAAAAAAAACCAAAAACAAGAAACCAATAAATAAAAATAACGGCTACCTCACATTTCATCGGTTCATTTTCTCTGCCTCGAGGGAATAGATAAAATTAATAAAAAATACCTGTCCACGTGGTTCACGGTTAGTTTCCCCAAGCCAAAGGAACGCGCAAACGTGTTGACCAAACCTTAACATGAGAATGCAAGAAAGATGCTTGCACGCGCATGCACACGTGCACACATACACACATACACACACACACACACAAACACATACACACACTGAGAGAGAGAGAGAGAGAGAGAGAGAGAGAGAGAGAGAATGAGAGAGATAGAGAGACCACCACCGAGAGAAAGAGAAAGAGAGAGAGGGGGGGTCGAGAGCAAGAGAAAGAGACCGAGAAACAGCTTGAGAGATGTCAATTATTGTTAATCGGAAATAAAATAGTGCGTAGAAAAATACGAAATTTGAACTATTCGATACTTGACAAGTTAAGTGGACACTTCGACGTTGTGTAATGGTTAGCAAGCTTGCTTCGCTAGATCTATTACGACTGAAAAGTGAGATCGATCTCCACTGGGTACTCCACGCTTTCGCCCGTGTGCCACATCAAAGCTACGCTTAGAAAATCATTTTGGTGCCTCGAGGTGGTGTATGGTTAGCAAGCTTGTTTCTCTAGAACAATTATGACTGAGTAGTGAGTTCGATCCTCACTGGGTGCCCCATACTTGTGCCACATCTGAGCTACGCTTGGAAAGTCACTGCTTAACAGGTTAATTACGTTCAATACTAAAAAAACAAAAATTTATACATCATGAGCATTAAAGTTTTTCTACTGCTAGATAGTAGATGATTATGTAGCGTTATTATATATGTGGATAAAAATGTCATTTTTGTATTAAATGTCAGTATTATTCAGGATGAAGATTAAGTAAAAAGCAATCATTTCAAATACATCGTTGTATTGATATCGTAGCAAATTTAGTATAGGAGAAAATGAAATTGAATCTAGATAGAATAGGCTGCGTTGGAGGCAGTTTCGGTCAGCACCACAAATTGCCACCAAATCAAAACATTAATCTAAAACTTCCAGTCATGTTCTTAAATAAACTCCTCAGATCGCGACTTTCATAAGGATGTCATGTATGGCTCCAAATCCGTTTAGAAATATCTACAGTGCCTGCCTTCTCAGATCAATGTTTAAAAATGGTTTCCAGCGAGTGAAGCTTATGGAGTTTGGTGATGACGACACTTATTCGAACATGGTGGACTGGCGCTACAAAATCGCAATGAACTATATCAAATAACAGAAACCACATCATTTGAAGACATTCAACAGAAGCAACAGTTAAAATGGATTGCACATATAACTCAAAGAGAAAATAATGACAAAGCCAATATATTGACCACCATGAATACTGGAAAGAGCGATAACACTGGGAAACTCTTTTTCTTAAGAGAAAGATTTTATGAATTTCAACCGATAGTAGTACTGGCTGCTCGGTCAATGAATACTGAATGTTTCCTTATAAAGAAAAGGCTAATATTACTATTACCATTATACTGGGTTTTATTATGTAATGTTATTTTACCATCGTTTCAGACGGACTTTGTAGTTTGTAAATTTTACAACTATATAAGAATTTCGGCGATTACAAAATGTAGTAAACTTGTATAACGCTGGTTTTCGTTTTCAGATCAGTTAATATGTTGATGAATTTGAATCAATTAAAATTACATATCAACGAGAAAGTAAAAAATGACAAATCTTACCACATTCAACAGTTTCAAACTATTACTTATTGAAAATGTTGCCTTCAAAAACGAAGGCTTGCGCACAACATTTTATTCATTTAAATTCATAAGGAAGAACATTCCTGGGGCAAGTTGTGAAAATTTGTAGCTCTTCGGTAAATAACCGAATTTGAATCTAATAACAGGTGTATACGGCCATTAAATGAATGTCTTTAGCTAACACTCACTACACGGTGAAGAAGAAAGGTATCGGTTCAATCCATGCATGTGGGAGTTCTGATAAGAATTATGAAATATCAGAGCTTATTTAGCTCAACACTGACAGATGATGCAACCAAAGAAGTAATCATAAGGCGCATTTGAAATAGGAAAGATACATTCTAAAAGCTAAACAAAGTATCACGAACAAGAAAATTTTGTTAGAAACAAAGAAAAGATGGCTGGGATTCTGTGTAATAACAATCATAAACGCCGCCGTAATTTGTTGATTACTCTGATATACGCGATTACATTACTGAAGGATATTCCGTAAACCGACTTCCAAGAATATTTCCAGCATTGTCTCACGACGTGTATATGTTCAAAATGGACTAATTTGATGATGAAAGCAGCCAACAGATATCAGTTAGGCAAACTGATTTTACCCAGTCATTTCCAGAATTTATATAAATATATATGCCATGTATTTTTATGATATTTATTTGTTTAAACATATTTAGATACGCATATATAGACATGTATAAAATAGTGTGAAAAAATGAAAGTAAAAATTAAAAATAACATGTAGAGCTTTTAACTTTTATATATATATATATATATATATATATATATATATATATATATATATTTATATGTATTTGGTTGGATTAAGTACCACATATAATATATAAATAATTATATATATATATATATATATATATATATATATATATATATATATATATATATATATATATAATTATTCATATATTGTATTTTATTTATATATGCACACACACACACACACACACATATATATATATATATATATATATATATATATATTTATATTAATATTTAAATACACATTTTTTGTATATATATATATATATATATATATATATATATATATATATATATATATATATATATATTAAACTTTCTTTCAAACATCTTTCAATAAATATGACAGATAAAGAGAATTCAACTATTTTGTATAGTTTTATATATAAGAACGGTGTAAAAACTAAATGAAAAAAATAAATTAAATTTTCCATACCTGTCATATTTAACGATACACACACACACTCTCTCTCTCGCACGCACACACACACACACACACACATATATATATATATATATATATATATATATATATATATATATATATATATATATATATATATATATATATATATATATATATATATACACACAGGGTGATTAAAAAATAACTCCGTATTTTATGTATGATGGACTCTCCCGTCTTGTAAAAATTGTAGTTAGTCGGAAGTATCCATCATATATAAAATAGGAACTTACATTTTAATCAATGTATAATGATTTTCCAAGCTTAACGTAGATGTGGCACAAGGCCGAAAGTAGGGAGCACCCACTGAAGATAGAACTCAGTCGTAATTGTTCTACCGAAACAAGCTTGCTAACCATTATACCGCCTCGAGGTGCCTCCTTTTCAATTGATGTATATATTCAAAGCAGAGTGGCCGGTCGGACTGAGAAATCGCTGAGCTGAGTTCGGATTCCAGTCGTGTTCGTTTCATTCACGTATGTGCAAATACCCTTAGAACAAGTATGAATGTCTTCTTCCCAATCTCAGTTATGGGTAAATAGCAGGACAGAACAGGTCCTATAGCCTTTGGTGGTAACTGGTCTATGAGTAAGACGAATCTGGATTCAAAAATGATGATTCATTGAAGAATTTGTCTTCAAAAATGAAGGTTTGAACTAAACATTTGATTGTTTTTAATTAGTAACAGAACATCAATTTTAACAGATTCAACAGTAGGGTCGTTAGTGGACCTTGTGTCACACTATGTGTACCAATTTTCTGTATTCGGCTCTTCCAAAAACAGTGGTTGGTTCTACACAAGGCTTCATCACTATAATCAAGTCATATGTGTGAATTGTACTGGATGTTGGGCTCTAAGAACTGAGTTACTGTCTCCTTATACTTCCAAAATCCCGATATATATATATATATATATATATATATATATATATATATATGAAGATGTGTATGGATTTTCTAAAGAATGAATGGATTTGAATTCATAATATGAATTATTCGCCGTTTGACGGAATAAAACGCGATTTTAAAAAAATGGAGCGTCTACTCAAATACGGGTATCCACAAAAATAATCTTCAAGGTAATAAAAATATGTATTTATGCATGAATAAGATTTTATATGTGCGTAGTTGATATTTACCTCTGTTTCGACATATATTTATTATCTCATTTTATTTTGCTTCTATCATTGTCCGTTTTA